TTATTTTATTTTATTTTATTTTATTTTATTTTATTTTATTTTTAATAGATATTATCATAAACATGAGTAAGATTATAGGAAATAGGAATGAATAAATGGGGACAATAGGACAGGGCCGGTAGGCACGACGGTGCACTTATGCACACACCTCTTACAGACCTCTTAGGAATGGGATGAGGTCAATAGTGGATAGTTTGAGGTTAAAGGAGTGGGGGTTAGAGGATGTAACTACAGAGTCAGGTAATGCAGTGATCCCCAACCTTTTTTACGACGCGGCCCGGTACCGGCATCAGCTGGGCGCCGCGGCCCGGTACCGGCACCAGCTGGGCGCCGCCATCTTTTTTTGATGAAAACGTGCTTCCGGTGAGCTTTCTACCCGGAAAAGCTCACCGGAAGCGCTGGCGCCTCCATCTTTTTTTCATGAAAACGTGCTTCCGGTGAGCTTTCTACCCGGAAAAGTTCACCGGAAGCACTTTTTCATCAAAAAAAGATGGCGCCCAGCAAGCCAGCGGCCCGGTAGGACTTGTTCCGCGGACCGGTACCGGTCCGCGGACCGGTGGTTGGGGACCCCTGAGGTAATGCATTCCAGGCCTTGACCACTCGGTTGCTGAAGTCGTACTTTCTGCAATTGAGTTTGGAGCAGTTTACATTGAGTTTGTATCTGTTGTGTGCTTTTGTATTGTTGCGGTTGAAGCTGAAGTAGTCATTGACTGTGGTAGGACATTGTAGCAGATAATTTTGTGCGCTACGCTTAAGTCCAACCGTAGGTGGTGTAGTTCAAGGTTGTCCGAGCCCAACATTTCAAGCCTGGTGATGTAAAGGACAAAGCCCAGAAAAAAATATATTTAGTATTTTTTTGATTTGTCAATCGCTTACAAGATACAGGTATAAGAATAAACATAGTTTTGAATACATGAGATAGATACTTATAAGAAAAATAAAAAGAAACAATAGGACAGGAACGGTAGGCACGATTGGTGCGCTTATGCACGCCCCCCTACAGGCCTCTTAGGAAGGGGGTGAGGTCAATAGTAGTAACTCGACACCCAGGTTAGAAGTGTTGTGTGAATGATCTCTGAGAACAGAAGTGGGTATTCAGCAGGTTCTGACCAGTTCCAGAGAACCGGTAGCAGAAATTTTGAGTAGTTCGGAGAACCGGCAAATCCCACCTCTGACTGGAGATTTTACAGTATCCTTCCCCTGCCATGTCCACCAAGCCGCGCCCACAGAACCGGCAGTAAAAAAAATTGAATCCCACCACTGCCTGATCAAATGTCCCAGAAACTGGAGTCGCAGCTTTCACACCAGTGACCGGCGAGGCCCAAGGTCTTCAAAGAGATCCACTTGGGAGCTGCCCTCCCAAACTGCAAATGGAGAGAGAGAAACTGAGGCACAACAGAGCGTGCTCAGCCTTTTCCTTTCTCCCCACAGCCTGGAGACGGAGATGCCACCGCGGGTCCTGGCTGCAGCCACGCTGGTCAAAGGCCTCAGCTACAAGCACCCGGAGCTCTCGGCCCACCTGCTGGTGGCTGGATGGGACCCTCAGAATGGCGGGCAGGTAGGTCCAGCAGGGGACTTGGGAGAAGAGGCTACTCGGTGGAGAAATATTGATCAATCAGAATAGAGCTGCAAGGGATCTTGGAGGTCTTCTAGTCCAACCCACTGCTCAAGCATGAGACTTTATACCCGTGATGGCGAACTTATGGCACGCATGCCAGAAGTAGCACGCAGAGCCATGGCTCTAGGCACACCAGCCATTGCCTGTTGCTCTTCCGGGTTCTCATGCACGCCGGCCAGCTGGTCTTCGCGCGCGCAGGAGCTCCAGAAACTGGAAGAGCACCTCCCAGTGCGTGCATGTGCGCCAGCTACCTGGTCTTCCAGTTTCTAATGCACATGCATGCACGAAGACCGGCTGGCTGGCGCACACATGCGCTTTAGAAGCTGAAAGACCAGGTGGCACGAGTGGGATTCTACCAGTTTGTACCTATTCGCTAGAACCGGTTGTTAACATTTTTAGCAGTCCGGAGAACCGGTTGTTAGAAGAAATTACTGGCCTAATCCCGTAAGGAAGACAGGAAGGAAACATTCTGGTGTTGCTTACAGAAACTGCCTCTCCATTAACCCTTATTACATTCTTGGCGGGACTAGACTTCCTGTCTCAGGAACTTTTCTGGAATTTCCCCCCCCCTCCTTTGCTGGTACTTCGCTTGTGTGGAGTGACCATTCAAAGTGACAATGGCCCTGAAAAAAGTGACTTATGACCATTTTTCACACTTACGACTGTTGCAGCATCCCCACAGTCATGAGAGGCCAGGCGAGGAGGAGATGCGTGCCTCGATGTGAGTGATATTGAGTTGGCCACACCCAACCAATCACATGACCACCAAGCCACGTCCACCCAGTCACATGACCACCAAGCCACGCCCACCAACCAAGCCACGCCCACAGAACCGGTTGTTAAAAAATTTGAATCCCACTCCTGCCAGGTGGCCTTTGCACATGTGCGCGCCGGGAGCTGCTCTTCTGGTTTTTGGCGCACACGCGGTTTGGCACTTGGTTCCTTTTCAGCGTGCGCGCATTCCCATTTCAGCACTCGGTGCCATAAAGGTTAACCACCAACTGCCTTATACCCTTTCAGACAAGTGGCTGTCTGGTCTTTTCTTAAAAACCTCCAGTGATGGAGCACCTACAGCTTCTGAAGGCAAACTCTTCCTCGCGGTTAGGAAGTTTCTCCTAAGTTTCCCTCCATTGTTTCTTGTCCTGCCTTCTGGTGCTTTGGAAAATAAACTGACACACACACACACCCCTTGTTTGTGGCAGCCCCTCTAATACTGGAATACTGCTAACATATTACCTGTAGCCCGATGGGAAATATTGGGGGATTTCCCATCGTCTCATCGCTATGCCAGAAAGCTACACCCGTTGAATTTCTGCTCATTGTGCCATGTTCATATCTAAAAACAAAAAACAACAAGCAGCCCTAGGATACAAAATCCTAAATTGCATTAACAGAGGGAGGAAGAAAATAAGCCAATGGGCAGTGCAGCAAAGGCAAGGAGGTCTGTTGAAAGATAGGATCCCACTGTGAGCAGGATCCCAGGCTCAATAGCAGTAACTGTGAGAGGGATTTTGGAGTCTTAGTGGACAACCAGCTAAATAGGAGCCGGCAGTGTGCAGCAGCAGGCAAAAAAGCTAATGCAATCCTAAATTGTATTAACAGAGGGATAGAATCGAGATCAAGTGAGGTACTAATGCCCCTCTATAAAGCCTTAGTAAGACCACACCTAGAGTACTGCATCCAGTTTTGGTCACCACACTATAAAAAAGATGTTGAGGCTCTAGAAAAAGTACAGAGAAGAGCAACCAGGATGATTAGGGGACCGGAGGCTAAAACATACAACGAACGGTTGCAGGAACTGCGCATGGCTAGTCTAGTGAAGAGAAGGACCAAGGGAGACATGATAGTGGTCTTCCAATATTTGAGGGGCTGCCACAGAGAGGAAGGGGTCAGTCTATTTTCTAAAGCACCCGAAGGCCAGACAAGGAATAATGGATGGAAAGTGAACGAGAGATTTAACCTGGAATTAAGGAGAAACTTTCCGACAGTGAGAACAATCAACCAATGGAATGGCTTTGCCCTTGGAAGTTGTGGGAGCGCCATCACTTGAGACTTTCAAGAAAAGATTGGACTCCCATCTATCAGAAATGGCTTAGGCCCGTGATGGCGAACCTATGGCACGCATGCCACAGGTGGCACACAGAACCATTTGTGCCGGCACGCAAGCCGCAGGCAAACTTACCTCACTGTGCATGTGCGTGCCTCACAGCTAATTTTTGGCTGGTTTGAGGCCTTTTTTGGCCTCCCAGAGGCTTGAAAAAAGCCTCTGCAGGTCGAATAGGTCCATTTCATCACTTCCTGTTAATACCAGAAGTGACGAAATAGGCCTATTCGGCCTGCAGAGGTTTTTTCCAAGCCTCTGAGAGGGCGAAAAAGGCCTCAAACCAGCTGAAAATCAGCTGTGAGACGCAGTGCAGGGGTCAGTGTGGGCGTACATTGCCTTCTGGGTGCCAGCGCACACAAAAATTTTGGCACAGGAACCCAAAAAGGTTAGCCATCACTGGTGTATGGTCTCCTGCTTGGACAGGGGGTTGGACTAGATGACCTACAAGGTCTGTTCCAACTCTGATTATCTGTTATCTGTTACAATGAAAGAAAGTCCAAATTACAAGTTTTATACGCCTTTCAAATATCAGGGACAGGAAAGGGTTGTTGCTTGGCTGCCTTCAGGCAATATGGACTCCAGGAATTGAATAGAAGGATATTCACCTTGGATCTCCACCATACTTGGAACCATACATTAACAAAACGCATTAATTAATTAATCAGTAGAATGACAATCCAGAAGTTGTGAATGCTCCAACACTGGAAGTTTTTAAGAAGAGATTGGACAACCATTTGTCTGAAATAGTATAGGTTTTCCTGCTTGAGCAAGGGGTTGGACTAGAAAACCTCCAAGGTCCCTTCCAACTCTCTGTTATTCTATATTCTAAAACGAACCATTAAAGAATTCACCAAAGATTTACACCAATTAAGTTTAGCATCCAACCCCCTGCACAACCATATACCATTGCAGACAAGTGACTGTCAAGTCTCTTCTTAAAATCCTCCAGTGATGGAGCCACCCACAACTTCTGAAGGCAACTTATGTTCCACTGGTGAATTGTCCTCACCGTTGGGAAGTTTCTCCTTAATTCCAGGTTGCTTCTTTCCTGGATTAGTTTCCATCCATTGTTTCTGGTCTTGCCTTCTGGTGCTTTAGAAAATAAGTTGACTCCCCTCTTCTTTGTGGCAGCTCCTCAAATACGAAACACAGCTATCAGGTCGCCCCTGGCCCTTCATTTCATTAGACTAGACATCTCCAATTCGTTGGTGATGTGGGTGAAGGAGGAGAGGGCAAAAAGTTGGCTTGAAACTCAACATTAAGAAAACTAAGATTATGGCATCCGGCCCTCTCAATTCCTGGCCAATAGATGGGGAAGAAAATGGAGGGAATGACAGATTTTATTTTCCTGGGTTCCCAAGATCACCACAGGTGGGGACTGCAGCTAAGAAATTAAAAAGACGCTTGCTCCTGGGGAGAAAAGCTATGGAAAATCTTTTTTTTTTTTAAATAAAAAGTTTTGTATTTTTATAACAACAAAAACAAACAAATAAAAGTTTCTTTCCGTTCAACAGTGTGTCAGTTGGGTACATATATCTTTGTGCACATAATAACATCATCATACGTATTTTACTTATATATGTTTATAATCATTCTAATCAGTATTTTGTATCACATGTATCCCTTATTATATTATCCTTAACATTATAATTATTAACTTTTAACGATATATTTCACATTCATTTTCTTAACTCTATCTAATCATTCGTTTATCAGTAATGATATATTATACTGTACTTACATATTTCAATTTCTTGTTCCTGGGGAGGAAAGCTATGGCAAATCTAGACAGCATCCTAAAAAGCAGAGACATCCCCCTGCCAACAAAAGGGCGTAGAGTCAAGGCTATGGTTTTCCCAGTTGCAATGTATGGCTGTGGAAGTGGGACCATAAGGAAGGCTGAGCGCCAAAGAATGGAGGCCTTTGAACTCTGGTGCTGGAGAAGATTCCTGCAAGTCCCTTAAGACTGCAAGGCCATCCAACCGGTCAGTCCCAGAGGAGATCCACCCTGGCTGCTCTTTAGAAGGCCAGATCCTGTGAAGATGAAACTCCAAGACTTTGGCCAACTAATGAGAAGGGAGGTGTTGGCCTCCAACGGCATTTTCTTGACACCTCAGGCTGCTTGCTTTTTGTCTGCTGTCATAGAAACAGGGTGGGGGAGGGGAAATTTGGTATTTGGGAGGGAAAGGTTGCCGGAGAGCGAAAACGGTTTCTATTTGGGAGGGGATGCATTCCTGCGTACTGCGCAACTGTATGGACTTATCTCTGTGAGCCAATGTCAACCAGCATACCAGATGAGTGAGAAACCACCTGAAGATGCACCCCACATGACACCATAAGCCCTTCCGATTGGATGTGCCGTCTGGATTCTTGAGGGAGGGAGTTTGGGAGAACTTTCAATGTGTAATTTCTGCGCCTTTTTGCCTCAGATCTTGATTTCCTTTCGTTGTGATCCCTTCAACTCGGCAAAAGTACATTTTCCTCTACCAAAGCGGAGTGGAGGGAGTTCTTTCTTAGGTACGTCTGCTGATCTGCCGGCAACTCTAAAAAGACCATAGACATATTTTTATTTACTCCCAGTAAATCCTTTTGAAGTTTTGGACGTTTGGCTCGAGACCCAGTGATTTAATTGGGGGATAACTGCCGGAATCCTGACCTCCGCATAACCAGCCATGCCCTCCGAGATATATTTTTGCTTCCGTGGAAGCTGTGCAAAGAAATGTCTAACCAAGGCAGAGAGCAAGAGGATATGGGAGCCGTGGCATCGTCTCGGGAGGAAACCAAATGGCTATCAGATTTGCAAATGGAGGAGCAGCCAGGCCGAGCCAGGTGGTTGTTAGGTGTGCGGCCAACGGAAAATCCTGACGACGTTTCCTCTGGAGTAACCGCTGCCAGACGCCGGTGTGGGGGAGCAGCTTGGCGGGAGGCAGACAAAAAAGACCTCCTACTGACCCAAGCCCTGCATCTCCTAACCGAAGCTCTTGAGAACAGGAGAGCTCAGGAAAGGTATGTTTTACCGGCGCGTGAAGAGAGGGGAGGAGAAGCCTCTGGTGATACCGAAGAAAAAACTCAAGCGGCTGCAGCGGCTCAAGGAGCTCCATCTGTGAGGAGGACAGCCCCCAGGAAGCGTCGAATTCCGAAGGTTCCCCCCTTGGAAGTAAAATACGGAGGAGATTCCCAAGATTTGGGATTCTTCCTAGCCCAAGTTTGTTATCACATGGAGGAGTACGGGGACGACTTTGCCTCAGAAGCAGCCAAAGTGAGGTGTGTCGCCAGGGCCCTGGAAGGGACGGCAGCACAATGGATGGTCTCCCTTTACAATGACGAGGATGCCCCCCAGCTGAGGGATTTCGACATGTTTATGACGGCCCTACGAGCCCAATTTGAAGACCCTCTTGCGGAACGTAAGGCATGGATTCGGATGAAAACCATAAACCAGGGGCGGAGGTCGGTGGCTGAATACACTCAGGAATTCCGGGACTTGGCGTGCCACATGCGTGGTTGGTCCCAGGAGGCCCTGCTGGAGGCCTACAAAGATGTCCTGAAGGAGGAGATCTACCAAAGGTGTATCTCCAGAGGGGGCCCTCAAGATGGTATATGCTGGCAGCTGATGTAGAGCTTGATCTGGCCAGAAACCGACGCCGTGGTGGCCTCAGCTGGAGTAGGCCTCCACCTACCACTCCCAGAGAGGTCCCTAAAGCTACAAAAAGTAGACCAACTGCGACACCCAAGTCCACGGCCTGTTTCCGATGTGGGAAGGAGGGGCATCGAGCTGCTGACTGCCGCACCAAACTCGAGTTCAAAGTGACGCCCGCCAGAGGGAAGAAAGTCGAAAAGCCTTCAGCCAAGTGCCGCGAAACGACCCCGAAGAGCGTGGAAATTGTTGAGTTGGCTCCTCCAGAAAAGGGGGAGTTGGGAACTCTGACTACCTCAGGGGAGAGCGAAACTCACTCCGACGACAACTCCTGGGTAAGTCGACAAGTGGGCCTCATGACCATCCTGGTGGAGTTAAGGGTGCCCTCATTTGGCACCCAAGGGAAGAAGTTGGATTCTGGGTGTACAAGATGTGTGATTAGCACAGAGGTGGTGGAGAAACTAGGGCTGATAACAGATAACAGATAATCAGAGTTGGAAGGTCATCTAGTCCAACCCCCTGCCCAAGCAGGAGACCCTACACCAGTGGTGGCTAACCTTTTTCGGCTCCCGTGCCGATAATTGCGTGCACACTTGCTTGCGCGCGCTTGTGTCCCAGTACCCAGAAGGCAATGCGTGCTGCCCCCCCCCACACCCCTCCACGTGCATGCGTGACTCCCTCCTTGCACGCCATGCGTCTGCACATGCCCACACAATTCCCCCTCATGCGCCGCACGTCTGTGCATGCGTGCATGTCTCCCACTCATCCCACCTCCGTCCCCTGCGCACGCACACCAGATACCTGAGATTTAGCTGTTGGGCGGCGGCATGCGTGGGCATGAGCATTTGGGCTCTTCAGGGCGACCTCTCGCGTGCCGGGGGAAATGGCTCTGTGTGCCACTTTCAGCACGCGTGGCATAGGTTCGCCAACACAGCCCTACACCATTTCTGACAAATGGCAATCCAATCTCTTCTTGAAAGTCTCAAGTGATGGCGCTCCCACAACTTCCGAGGGCAACTTCTGTTCCATGGGTTGATTGTTCTCACTGTCATTGTCCTTATTTCTAAATTGAATCTCTCCTTGTTCAGTTTCCATCCATTATTCCTTGTCTGGCCTACAGGCACTTTAGAAAATAGCTTGACCCCTTCCCTCCTCTCTGTTGCAGCCCCTCAAATATTGGAAGACAGCTATCATGTCTCCCTTGGTCCTTCTCTTCACTAGACTAGCCAAGCCCAGTTCCTGCAACCGTTCATTGTATGTTTTAGTCTCCAGTCCACTAATCATCCTGGTTGCTCTCCTCTGCACTTTTTCTAGAGTCTCAACATATTTTTTATGTGGTGTGGTGAACAAAACTGGATGCAGTAGTCTAGATGTGGTCTTACTAAGGCTTTATAGCAGGGGTGGGATTCTACCGGTTATGTCCACTTCTGTAGAACTGGTTGCTATGAAAAGCCGCAGAGAGAATACATAGAACTGGTCCTATGTCTGCTGCTGTTTTGGCCCACCTGCCCGCCCGGGCTCTTACCTGACCTTTATTTCCTGTGTTTTCAACAGCTGTTGAAAACGCAGGAAAAAAAAGGGGTTTTCCAACCGCTGCGCACTTGCAGGCAGCGTTGCTCAGCTGTCCGGGCAGCTTAGCAGGTCGTAAAGTGCACTCGTGCGTGATGCAGAGCGACAGAACCGGTAGTTATACCGGTTGGATCCCATCCCTGCTTTGTAGAGTGGTATTGGTACCTCCCTTGATCTCGATTGTATCCCTCCGTTTATGCAGTTTAGGATTGCATTTGCTTTTTTGGCTGAGATTAAGAACATTGAAAATACCCATAGCACTTAGGTGGATCGGTGGCTGGGGGATGCACGGCTCATTTTGTAATGGAGCCAGTGGAAATGTGGATGGGGGACCACTGAGAGTCTTTGTGTTTTATCGTGGCCCCTGGGATGGAGCGCTCCCTTCTACTCAGATTACCCTGGCTCCGGAAATGGAATTTGCCCAGGACAGAAGTCCTCACTGGAGAAGAGCCTAAAGCTAGGAATGATTGAGGGCAATAGAAGAAGAAGGGGACGACAGAGAATGGGGTGGCTGGATGGAGTCACTGAAGCAGTCTCCATGAGCTTAAAGGGACTCCAAAAGATAGTAGAAGACAAGAAGGCCTGGAGGAATGTTGTCCATGGGGTCGCGATGGGTCGGACACGACTTCACAACAAACAACAACAGCAGAAATCCAATTTGTGCAACCATTCTTTATATGTTTTAGCCTCCAAATAATCTTTGCTGTAAATTTTATGCACTCTTTTCAGAGTCTCTACATCTTTTTTATAACATGGTGATCAAAACAGGATGCAGTATTCTATCAGGTCCAGCTGATAATAGAATAGGATCCTTTATTGGCCAAGTGTGATTTGTCAAGGAATTTGTCTTCAGTGCATAAGCTCTCAATGTACATAAAAGATATAAGTGATGAATCATAATCATAATCTAGTAAGACTCCTAATTCCCTCTCACACACAATGCCCTTCTTCTGTTTAGTCATGTCCAT